TTATTGATATTTTCACTAAAACATTCATTGAAGGATCAAAGTTACAATAACTGATTTTATTTGGAACACCTTATGCATACTAGAATTGGTATTATGTCATCGACTATTTTATACTCAACAATGCAACGACAATCTATAATGTGAAAGTTAGTAACATCTGTCTAGGCAGCATGTAAAATGTGTTACTTACGTTTGCATAGGCAGAATTTAATGTATTGTATCATTTTTTGTTAATTCAAAAATTAATAGATAAAATTTTAAATTTAGCCATCATTCATTCTTCCTCTCAATCTTTTTAAATTTTACGTCAATCAATTATTTAGAAGTATAATCTATTTTTATCTATTTTTAACTATTTTGTTTCTATTTTTCAATATATTCAAAATAATAATTTAATATTCTTTAATAAAATTTTTGTATACAAAAATGAAATAATTTTAAATAATAATAAAAGTAAAAAAAAAGTCAGTTATTGTGGATTTCAAAAGATATAAAAAACTAATTACTATTTAAATTATTATCTTCTTTTATCGAATATTTTTTATTTCAAATATTCTGCTTTATATACGTTACTTGTACAAAAAGAGGATGTTTTACAAGACTTTTCACAAGAGTAATTGACGCATCAGAAAAAATTTATACTACGGCATGTTATGTAATAATAACAAACTTAAAATTGATTTAAATTATTACATTGTTTAAAAAAAATAAAAATATTAAATTTATTTTTAAGTTAATTTGTTTTTTGGATGTAATATATATTTCTTATTTAATTTCTTATTTAATACAAAAATATTTTATTTCTTTCGATTTCGATTGCTCTGTCGTTTTTTAAACTTTTTAAGTTTAAAAAAAAAAATCATATCGAATTAAGCATAAAAAATTAATTTAAAAATATTACTTTATTTAAATAAATTAATAATTTCAATTTGACCAATGGCACAATAATCAAATATATAAATATTTTGATAAAAGAGGAATTAAAATTATACGAATATTAAATTCTTTAAACCAATTAAGTTTAAACGCCAGTAAGAGTCTCAAATTGCCGAATTGAATTACACAATTGATTCAAGGCAGTCGTCTCCGTGCTGAGTGGGGATAATGAACTGTCAGTTATAGAATCTTACGACCTGTTACTTGTGGAGTCACTACTGTACATACATACCTATCTATATTTCCTATCTTCATACTCTCCTCTTCTTCACTCTTCTACACACGAATTCGGTCGGCGACCAAGCGAACGAACCGTGGGAACTTTTCTCGACTCTGGGGAAATCGTCGTCATACATTGAACACAGTTTTGAATACACTTGATGAAATTCTCGCTTTCGCGAGCCGCGGTCGAAACGCTGAGAATCCGTTTGTTTCTATTATCTTGTCCCTAAAAAGCCTACCTTAAACGTATCCCATCTCTTTATATTATCTCTAACATTTTTCAGGGGATCCAACACTCAGAGAGGCGGTAACAGGTATATCACCGCCGGTCGAACGTGATCATCAATTCTATCTCGATGTTCTACCGATGATGGGCACAGCGTTGAGAGCTAAAGCGAGAATTCAGATAAATCTGGCGGTTAGTCAAGTACGGGACATTAAACAAGTCGCCTCGTTTCCGGATATCGTTTTCCCGATTATATGGTTCGAGGATGTGAGTATACGTACACTGTATCCTTGTTGAAAATTTCTTTTTCGATATATAATGTGAATACTGGATCTTTTTATTATTTCCTTTGCGATATCCTTTTTAAAAAAAATTAATCAAAACTGATTAATTCAGTAATATATAGCTGACGAGAAGAGTGACGGATCTATACTCGAACAAGAGAAGTATTTCTTTTGCTCACCAAATATGACGCTGTATGATCTTATTTGTAGAATCACTTTCAGCCAATATGTGGGCCGATTTTTAGAAATGTATTGGATTTGGAAGTCGATCGATCAGATTCGCATTTTTTCCATTATTAGGATTTTTTGTCAGTTATAAACGATATATAACATTTTCTGATTTTATATAAAGAATACATAGAAATTAAGATATATATTAATGTTGCATATGAAATGTCGTTTTTAAAGGAATTAATAGAATAATATTATTTATCACTTATTTAATATTATCATATTAAAGAAGGAGAAATTTATGTTATGAGAATGTTGTAAATTACATATATCAAATATTAAAAAAATTTATAATAATAGAATCAATTGGGGATCATTATGAATAATCGTATGGTTTTATTATTTAAATTTATATATTGAAAAAAATGCTACTTTGAAAAAGATTACTTTGAAAAAGATTAAAGATGTTCCCTATTTTAAAACAATCAATAGATGAAGAACATATAGATAAGAATATAAAATTTGTTGAATTATTAATTGGAAAAGTTAATCATGTTAGAATTATATAGAACTTTAATTGAGTATGTATAGAGGAAAGGATATAAATATGAAATATCTATTTAATTTTTTTAATACTGAGATCTTTAGAATAGTAATAAATAAAAAAAATTAAATGCAATTTTCTGAAAAATTTCATCGAATATGTTACATTTTTTAACTTTTTTTAAATAAAGAAAAAAATCGGTTTAATTAAACATTAAATATATTTGAATAGTAGTATAAAACTGATATTTTTTAGGGAAATAATTTATATTAAAGTATTAATAGAAAAATTTTATCGATAGACAAGTATATAAAGTATATATAAGCAAGAAAAATATGATAAAAATGCAATGAAACAACCATAATTAGATAGAATAATTTATTTTGTTTTGGAATGCAAAATAAAACTGCATGTAAATTATATTTTCTGAGCTTGTACAATCATACATCCACAATTAACATATCTTCATAATTCATTTTTAAAATCTTTGAAAAATTGTAATTGTTATCAAACATATCTCATATTTTTACCAATTTCACTTTCACTTATCATATAATTAAGAACTTCAAATCTTCATTATATTATAACTACGATACTTATATTAAAACTACTATTACCATAAATAGAATTTCTGTTTTTTTTTTAAATTATAAAATAAATTAAAATAAATTTCACAAGTTAATAAGCGTAAAAACTTTCTATTACGATCAAAACATAAAACGTTCATTAAACGAATGAATGATAGAATATGTTAATTGTCGTAATATTTGAAGCAAATCATTAGCAAAATTATCAAATTCTAGTATTTCATATTTCTACTTTTTCCTCTATCTTTCGAATAAACATAATTTTTCGAAAAAACAACATTTCATGTGCAACCTAACCTTATATCCTGAAAATAACCTATATATCCTATTATATAACATATAATGATAAAATATTCAAATAAAATATTTTTACGTTTGAACGAGGTCGGTACATTGACCAGCTATCATAATATCTTTATTTTGATTATATCCGACTGTCACAACGAATCGATCGCGTGGACACGAATCGCGATTAAGAAGCGATTAGCACTTGGCGACGGCAATGGTAGCCGATGATATTAATCGTGCAAATAGGCATTCGTGACGGTAATGGGAAGCGCGAGTGATTCGACGCCTCCGACGTATCATTGTCTGTAATATGATTCATTTTGTTGGAATGACCGTTCGTGTCGATAATTTATTCTTGCCATTGTCATTTTAATCGCCACTGTATTATCAACTACTCGTCATAACGATCAGGATTGATCGAGAAAAATTGACGTGTTAATAATACATTCACTCCATTACAGGGTATCGATGAGCTTCCGGAAGAAATGCGAAACCTGATGAAGATGGCCGTGGACGTGCCTCCAATTGCTCGAGCGGCGGTATCTGGAACTTTGGCGGCGATAGGCGCGATCGTTTTGATAGGAGCGCTCTTCTTCCTGGTGCGTGCCGCTAAACGACAAGAGAAACTACATCTGAGCAATCCGTTACCGTCTAACGCGACTGCGAGCAAAACCGGTCAGCTGAACCCTGCATTCCAGAATCCATCCGATTCCAAGTAGAACGGCCGATCTGCCCAGCCTGCCGTTTCTACATCTTTCGATCTCGAGCGTGAAGTTGCGCGTATGCGTCGACCCTTGTACGCGGCAAACTTTCACCCTAATAGGTTTTTAACGGATATAAATCGAGAGAGCGAGAGGCGAATGGAGAAATTGGGTAAGAGTGATCGGTGTCTTATCGTCATCTTGTTATCATCGTTCCATTCCGCTTTAGGAATGAAGAAAACAATAATAATAATAATAATAGAGGAAGGGGGAAAGGACAATTACGTTGTGTCGATATATATATAATCTTTTACGAGAACTCGAACGAATTTTCTCGTTGGATATTCGACTGGCCAGTTTTGAAATTATTAGGAATCGTTTGCATTCCTATAGATTGTTAGTGCCGGTTCGGAACCAAGTTAATAATAAGAAAGCGAAGCGAAAAAGTAGGAAGTACGCGAACGATTTGTGTGCGCGTGCATATTGTATATGTGTGTATATGTGCTGCTGTTGTGTGTGTCTGGTGTGTGCATGCGCATGCGTACGAGGGAAGGGAATTATGAAGGAGGGAGTAGCAGAGAAGTGGGAACAGAAGTGACGTGGAAATAATAGTGCGGTATATGGCGAATTTCTATCGTGGAACGAGTTGCTCCATCATCCGTCGCATCGTTGCCATCAATGATATTAAAAAAAAAATTTTCGTCCATCAATCAATGAAAAACTCTCGCCTCTCGTAACCGTCGAATGAAAAAAAAAAAAAAAATCATTCCGTCCAGCAAATACACGATCACGTGTACAAGATCATCGACGTGAGCCGAGTAAATCGTCTTTGGATTTTGACGAATCTTTTCTGGCGGCGATCGAGATCTTATTGTTATTCCATTATACATTCGTTTATATGTATTTCGTTGTAAACGCGTTAACTTCAGATAGACTATGGTTAGATTTCTAGATGAATTTAGTTTTTTACAATCAAGTATGAGGAAGAGCTGGAGTGGGTAGAGAAGGTGGAGGTGGAGGAAACGACAATAAAGTAGCCAAATAGTTTTGAAATCCGGATTCGGATTCGAGACAATTTCAAACGATGTCGTGACAATTTAATAATAAAATTATGTACGACGAGAATATTCGCTAGTTGATTTCACCATGTATCGAAAATTGCTGCCGGTGTACACGTGTGAACGAATGAGTTGTTCATCTCTGTTTTTCAAACTTGTTTGTCGATATGACATAGGTTATCGATGCAGATATATAAATATAAAAAAAAATCGTAGAAAAACATCTTATAACATACATATGGCTGCAATTAATAATTTTGCATTATTATTGTATCTTATTATTTTGTACGTGGTTTTTCTCGAAGGAATATGAACGCACGAGCGCGCGTCTATCTTGTACTATACTGTTATTGCGATACAATTGAAGCGAGCATAGACGACATTCGACAGAGGGGATAGGTCTGTAATGATAGTCGTATGATCGATTGATCGCTTATAAAGTGGCGTGATCGACTTTTTTTTTTCTCTTCCAAGTTATTCAGAGCGTGATGAGCATCGAGAAAAGGAATCAATTGGCCAAGTGAAGGAATTAACAATAAATTAGGTCGTTGATGCCGTATTCTCGGTGAAGTCGTTAAACACGCAGTGCATAATATCGTCATCCACGATCGTTCCGTTACAATCGATTGAGTTCAGTTTCAGTCCACTCTGAGACCGGTCGATCGAGTTTCGAATCCAGTTTCGTCTCGATCGATTCTTTCGTTCTTTCTTTCGATTCTTTCCTTCGTCTCGATCTTTCTTTCTTCATCGTGGCAAAAAGAGCGCCGAACGAGATGATCGCGCCGATCAGACTACACCATTGAAGAACAGCTTCGATGGCATTCACCAAATAGTGACTTCGATACAAAATTTGTCGAAGCGACTCAGGTATTTCGCCTATTCCGGTATCGAGCCATATCAACGGCAGAATCAACCCATCTTCGAGATTTCCGGAGAAGGGAATGCCGACCGCTTTTCGTACCTCTACGTTCATTTGCAGTCTCATGTTCATGTTCACCGTGATGCCTAAACGCTAAAACCAAAATTTATATTTTTTAGATGAAGGAGTTTTTTAATTCTGAAAAAATAATTATTCTGACAAACTTCCAAAAATCCGAATTTAGTAAATATTTTACAAGTGCAAAATATACAAATATACAATATATAACAGAACTGCAAAACGAAATTCATCCTGGAAAGGATTTATGAGTTTTCAACACAAACAATGTAATCTGATCCGCGATCGAATATCCGTAAGACGATACTAATGTAATGATAAAATTTGTTTATTTTTGTTTTTTTTTTAACGAAACTTTTATGAAAATATTTGAGATTTTTGTGATCAAAATAAAACCAAACACAAACGATATAATTTGTATCATATTTGTGTTTTTAATCAATGATAAACAACTTTTTTTT